TTTAATTTTTTATAAATCTAAATAAAAAAATTTAAAAGAATTTTTGCATGTTGTCAGAATTATTATATTATAATATATTAAAAATTTCAATGATTCTATATACATATATTTATATTTATTCAATAATATATAAGATAGAATTGATTATATAATTCGATTTAAACTGAAGACACATAAACATGTTGTTCTTTTTGATCTATTAAAATTCATCGAATTCAAACACAAATTTGTACGTATTTTCGAGCAAATTATACGAGAGTTAATGGATATTGGTAATATAGAACCATTGAAAAATAATCTTTGCTATATTATCAGATTGTAATTGCTTATCCTTTCCTTATTTCATTTCATTATATCAAATTATTATATCAAAACGGATCTGAAATTCATCTTATTTTAATACAATTTGTTACGATTCTTTTTCGATTTAAATGTCTTATAAATAAAATTTAAAAAATTGAAGTCTCATTCTTTAAATTAAAAAAATTTTTATTTTTTTTATTCATACAAATTATTTTTTTTAAATGAAAACAATAAAATATTTTATAAAGGATTAAAATTATCAAAAAAATGTTTTATCAAAAATTGTTTGATTCAATCATATATAGCACAAATTATTTTTTTGTTCGTCGAGTTAAAATCAACTTCATTTTTTAAAATAAAACTATATAATTTTGAATACATTGATCCATCAATTTTGATATTTTCTATAAAAAAAAAGTATTAACTACTCATGTTGAAGAATGAGAATGTAGATTAATTAATTATTTAATTAATTATATATTAATTAATCCGAATGTCAATTATTCGACATTTAGTTACTTAATGATTTATTAAATGATTAATTTGAATCCAAACGGAGAATGAATATGTATTTAAATTGCATCTAATATGTATTTAAGTGCATCTAACAATTTTTATATTTTGAACATATATCTTTCTATTTAAAAGCGATTCATTGCTTGCAATTAATTTAGAAAAACAGTATTTAATAATTATAATTTTTTAATTTAAACAATTATATTATATTTCTATATATAAAATATATAAAATAAAAATAAAATACATATCATTGTTATAAATTTAAAATATGAAGTTATACTAATATCAAAACATTTTCGTTCACTATATAAAGTAACAAAAAAAAAAAAAAAATATGTTATATTTTTGTTATGCTGAAAAGTGTATAATTATAATAAAAAATATGAATGACATAGAGTGTTAAAGTCATTTATTATTATCATAACGATCCAAATTATCGGCTTTTGGTAATGTAATGTAGCTAAAGAAGGAGGATATATACCACAATTTGTAGTACATGCAGTATCATGATGATAATTATAAGCATGAATATAAATCATAACTTGTAATATTATATTGAGTCAACATTAGAATACAGCGCTGCTTGGACATATTATTAAATATAATATACACTATGTATATTTCCTTAATGATACAATAAAAAGTCGCATCAACAAATCATCCGTATGGAGATTTATTTATGTTATAATGACTTTTGTGAAACTTTTCTCTTGATTAAATGATTTATTATTTATCATTTTTATTTTTTTATTTTGTAAAAAAAAATTGAACTTTTTATGTTTTATGTTTGGAAAAATCTGGAAATACAGACAAACAAAGAAGTAAGTATCCGGAGTATAAAAATTTAAAAAAAAAAACAATACGAAAGAAATATAAAAATATTATAAGGAAAAAGCAAAATGAAAATGAATAAATAGAGTGTGAAAAAAATAGTGATATAAGAAAAAAGAATAAAAAATATTAAATGCAAAAGTTTTGTCAATTCTTACATTATTCATAGCATTTTTAAAATAATTACAGATTTAAATAGAAATTAATTTAACGTAGAAAGAAATATAAAAAATTATATAAAGAGAGTAATATTTTGTTTATGTTTTCTAAATTTTAACTTATCAAGATAATATTATATTGAAATAATCATTTAATCTTTTTGAAATTTTTGACTTCAATTTTAGATCCTTTTTTTAAAAAAATAGATAGAATTAGAAAAATATATAATAATTAGAATAGAAAAGAATACTAACACCTAGGAATATATATAAATCAAATAAAAAGTAACATATATTGAGATATATATTGTTCCATAGAAGATCAGAAATATTTACTGGAATGTATATAATATATGTATACAATATCTTATCAGAGGTAAAATAAATAGTATTTATTCTTCTAATTTCATCGCTATCTATTTTCATTTGTTATTTAGGTTATTAAACATTTTAAAAGGCCAAACATTTATAAATTTTATAGATTCAAAAAATTTAATTGTAATATGTTTTTTGTAATATGTTTAATTATTTAAAAAAAATAAATGAGAAAATTTGTAGAAATGAATAATATAATACATAGGATTAATATATTTATGGAAAGATTTCCTTTAGAAAGTCAATTCAATATTTTTTAATTCAAAAAGCTTTTTTTTTAT